ATATATATATCTTTTTAAAAGTTTATTTTGAGAGAGAGAGCACGAGAGAGGGGCAGAGAGAGAGGGAGAGAGAATCCCAGGCAGGCTCCATGCACTGTCAGCATAAAGCCCAGTGTGGGGCTCCAACTCACAAACCATGAGATCATTACCTGAGCCAAAGTTGGATGCTTAACCCACTGAGCCATCCAGGCCCCCTCCTCCTCTTTTTAAAAAAAAATTTTTTTTGGGGGGGGGGGCGCCTGGGTGGCTCAGTCGGTTAAGCGTCTGACTTCACCTCAGGTCATGATCTCACACTCCATGAGTTCAAGCCCCATGTCTGGGCTCTGTGCTGACAGCTCAGAGCCTGGAGCCTGCTTCAGATTCTGTGTCTCCCTCTCTCTCTGCCCCTACCCTGCTCATGCTCTGTCTCTGTCTCAAAAATAAATAAAAACATTCAAAATATTTTTTTTTTTTTTTTTTTGAGAGACAGAGAGAGAGAGAGCAAGCTCACACCCCTGCACAAGCCAGGGAGGAGCAGAGGGAGAAAGAGAATCTGAAGCAGGCTCCACATTCAACTCAGAGCCCGATACAAGGCTCAATCCTATGACCTTGGGATCATGATCTAAGCCAAAATCAGGAGTCAGATGCTCAACTGACTGAGCCACCCAAGCACCCTTCTTTTTTTTTAATGTTTATTTATTTTTATTTAAAAAAAATTTTTTTTTAACGTTTATTTATTTTTGAGACAGAGAGAGACAGAGCATGAACGGGGGAGGGGCAGAGAGAGAGGGAGACACAGAATCGGAAGCAGGCTCCAGGCTCTGAGCTGTCAGCACAGAGCCCGACGTGGGGCTCGAACTCACGGACCGCAAGATTGTGACCTGAGCTGAAGTCAGACGCTCAACCGACTGAGCCACCCAGGCGCCCCAATTTTGAGAGAGACAGAGAGAGAGTGGCACTTGTGAGCAGGGGGGGGGCCAAAGAAAGAGAGAGAAAATCCCAAGCAGGCTCCACACTGTCAGCACAGAGCTTGACTCGGGGCTCAATTTCACGAACCATGAGATAATGACCTGAGCCGAAATCAAGAGTTGGGTGCTTAACTGACTATGCCACACAGGCACCCCTTTTTATTCCCCATCTACTTCTTACAAGAAATAGGAAGTTCCTGAAGTATTAAGAGATTGATAAATTCTGACCATTTATGAACCTTAGTCACAAATTTCAATCCCTCATTTGAGTGCCCAGCTTCTAAAGAGAAAGCACAGGATAGTGGAAAGCACTTTGAGTCTGGACAGAGAAACTGGATTCTAGTCCCAGTTCATTGTATTATTAATCTGTGAAACGGGGATAGAAGCATCAAGCCTCACTACTTCCCAGGGGTTCTGCCAGCCTCAAATAGAATAGCCTTGAAATGATTTCCAAAGGCCCTAACAATGCTACATAGACATTTTATATGTATTGCCATATAAAGATGTCAGAGATATATGGATGACTGTTATAGTCTTCCTGAGGATTTTAATGGTTTTAAAGAGTGAAAAACGAGATTACTGTTAGGTAAAAAAAAGGTTGCAGAACAGCATGATTCAACACTTTGATTCAATTTTTATTAAAAGACAAAACAAAAACCAACTGGGGCACCTGACTGGTTCAATCGGTAGAACATGGGACTCTTGATCTCAAGGTCATGAGTTTAAGCCCCATGTTGGGCATAGAGTTTACTTTAAAAAAACCAAACAGCATTCGAATCTTGGTTTCGGTTCAGGTTGTGATCTCACGGTTTATGAGTTTGAGCCCCATGTGGGGCTCAGCATTGACAGTGTAGAGCCTGCTTGGGATTCTCTCTCTCTCTCTCTCTCTCTCTCTCTCTCTCTCTCTCTCTGCTTCTCCCCGACTCTCTCTCTCAAAATAAACAAACTTTGAAAAAAAAATTGGGCCCTACCCATTTATAAAAAAAATAAAAAATGACAAACCCCAACTAATATTAAATCTGTGGATTAGACTCCAAACAGCGGTATGAAGAGTGGGATTAAGGGAGCCTCTCCCTCTCTCTCTCTCTCTCTCCATATATATGTGTATATATATATATATATATATATATATATATATATATATATATATGCATTCGATGATCTTACAATGAGTTCATTTAATTTATTGTAAACACACACACACACACACACACACACACACACACACACACACCTTAAAGCAAACATGAAGTATTTTTACATTAGATCTAATCCCAAGCATGACAACTTTTTGTTTTATAATTCTCTTCTGTGGTTCTGTGAGGAAGTGGTGGCAAAAAATAATAAAAGGGACAGAGAGAACCACAGGGTTGGGGTTAGGGGAACAGTGATGGGGAGTGGAACCTAGACGTAGCCAAAGGGCCATGGCCATTAGCTGGGAAAAGCTTCCCCTCTCCCTGAGCAGGGACTGAATTTCCAGGAAGAGATAGTCCTCCAGGTCTCAGAACCCAGTGCTGACCTCATGTTCCAATTCTCCTGCCTTCTTGTCCACTGGCTCCTGGTTCCTTGGGATGTTTCTGCTCTCCTCAGGATCACTTCAAAGTTCCAAATCAAATAATCATGTGTCCAGCTGGAGGGGAAGTCAGAAAATCAGGAGCCTCTTAGTGAAAGATAGTGGTGTGTATCGAGTCTGACACCAAGCTGACCTTCCCACTTGAGGAAGAGGAAATGAGTTCAAGTGGAACACACTGACACCCTACTCAGCTGCTCACATACCCCAGAGCAGAAGGCCTCTCAATTGCTTGATGCTTCCATCTGGGCCGGGACCAAGGATAAACACTTCTGGGAATCACCCAGCCACTGGGATGCGTTGGAAAGTTCTATACCCCCATTACAGCCCTATCCATTCATTCTCACACCCAAATATGGTTCGGCTCAGCTGGACTGGAAGAGTTTTAAAATAAAACATAAAGGCAAACACTACTGTAGTGCTTACGCTGTGGGCCAAGTGCCGTTCCAAGCCCTTATATACAATAATGTTTTTAATCCTCAAAAGAGCCCTATGGGGGTAGGAATGACCCTATCATCCCTATTTTACAGATGAGAAAACTAAGGCACACATTTGAACCCAGGCAGTCAGGCTCTGGCACCATCCTCTTAACCAGTTCCCTACACTGCCCCTCAGCAGAGCATCAAAAGCAGTGTTTTGCAGGCAGGGCGCACCTGGTGAATCCATCCCTCCTTTGACTTAGATGGGCAGATACCAAAAAGTGGACCGGATGGCCAAGGCTAAACACTCCCGGTCGCTTGCCCGTCTCCCAGGACAGGGCTTGGGATGAGGGAGCCAGGCTAGAGGGGGAAAGGCAGGGGACACAGGCAGTCCATGGCATAGAGGAGGCACTGGGCAGGCAGCAAGAAAGAAGCAGTTTGGCTTTGGTTTTGCCATTCACGTGCTACGTGCTCTTCAAGTGGACTTCCCTCATGTGTAAAAAAGGTTTTTTACCAGCACCTTTGGAGAAAGCTCAACGGGGACAAAGCTAGGAACCTCATTAGTCGGTCTCCTCTTCCTCCCTATTTCCTGATCACTTAGGAATGTGAGACCTCCTCGTGCTTCCATTAGTAAAAAAAATTACTGCTATCCAAAACAACCAATCATTGACTAGGCTCTGGATTCTAGTCTCGTAGACTTCCCAAATGGGCAGCTCTTAAAAAGCCAGGTTGGGCTAGCCTGTTTCCTCTCAGATACATACTAAGCACAGCCACAGGCAAAGCATCCACTGGTGTGTACATATGGAGGACACGAAGGCAAGTAAGCCACAACTTGTGCCTGTCCTCAAGGAGACCATACTACGGTGGAGAGGGACGGAGAGTCTACAAATACCTATAAAATATATGTAGGCCCAGCTCAACAGGGCAGAAAGAGGAAGCGGAGTTTTGCAAGAGATTCTGTCTTTGCTTCAAGATAGGGGATGGAAAAGATATGTTTTTCTGTACCTAACCTCTGTTCCCTGCAGTCTGGGTGACGGAACTTGTTTTTTCTTCTTCTTCTTTACTGAATAGGGACCTGAGACCACCACCCACTCCTCCCCCCTCAGCCTCACCCTGCAGAAGCCCATCTATGCCGAGTTCCTACAGCACCAGCTGATGTTATCTCTCCGCACAGGTCAGAACTTGCAGGTCTTGGTCCATCTTGCATCTTCCTGTCTGGAAAGCAGTCTGGGACCCAGGGACATATTGTCAATCCCTTTCCAAAACGGGTGGGTCCCCCATGCCCGGCTCAAGCACATTCCAGGACATAACCTTGAGCCTGCCCTCCCTTCATCCCCACCTTTTTAAAAGCTGGCTCTGCTTCCTCTGACAAGCCTGGGTTTTGGTGGGAGGAGGAAAGGCAGATACCATCAGGTGAGGCAGGGAGGGGCCCACCAAACTGGTGTTCCCACTGGTACTGTTTCCTGCCCTGATGGCTTCCTCACCCTCATTCAGGCTGGGTGGGGAAGAGTCAGGTACAGACAAGATGTCCCAGTCCCTCAGCCATTCACTGTTCTCTCCCCTTGGCAATGCAAGGATACAGGACAGAGGACCTGGTGAGCCCCGGTGGTGCTGGACAAATGGTGCATTCTGCCAGGTAGCGTACACGGGCTGAGCTCCAAGTTGTTTCTGCAGGAAGGTCCCAGATTGTCCCAAGGGGGTGGTCATAGAAGCAACTCAAACCTCTAGAATCTTTGTTCAGTGATGTGGGCATTCACTCCACATCCTCCAGACACGGTCTCACCCTGGATGTGGAGCAAGGGTCTTGCTGGGCAACTAGAAAGGGTACCTGTCTCCAGGGTAACAAGATCTAGAAGATCTAGAGGCCTCAAGCATTTCCCACCCATTTCTGCTACGAGGCAATGCTACAGCTCTCAGTTTATATATACTGGAGACAGTCTTAGAGAGGCTAGAAATACAAATACCGTCTGCTGGCAACCCCATCTCTATCCTCAAACTCTCCAGCTGCCCACTCACCAGAAACTACTGATGTGGGTACAGGTGAGGGTAAGTGAATCCAATCAATGATCAATTAAAAGTGTTTATTTTTAAATGGAAAGGGAGTAACACAGAGGCAACTTCTGGCATCTTCTTTCTAGGCCATCACCCCCACGTGCTCTCCAGCTCAAAGCACTGGCGGGAGGGGCCCCGGGACAGGCTGAGGGCCCAGACAGCTGCGAAGGCAGTCACAGAGAGATCTGTACAATTCTAGGGAGGTGGGATTCAAGAGTCCTTCCCAGCCTCCTCATCCCGGAGCAGGGTTAGAGCTCAGGGGCATAGGGCTCTCCGGTGGGCGAGGGCACTCGCAGCTCAGCATTGTGCCTTACCACGGTGAAGAGCCCCACCACCGCTAGCAGGGCCATCACCATGACGGCAGAGCAGATGCTGAACATGTTCCGAGTGCCCGTTTTGTGATCGCTGTCATGGAGGACTAGGAGCCCCAGGCAGGCCAGTAAGTGCAAGGGCACCCGGAACCAGTTGAGTACGCCAGCTTGCTCTGTCTCAGGGATCACCTTTCTCCGCAGGAAGCTCATGCTGGGAAAGTATAGCCCGCAGGCCAATTCGATAAGTAGGAAGGCTATGAAGGACTCCACTGGATTCTCCTGGCCTGGGCTGGTGGAGAAAGTCAACATGAAAAGGGAGAAGACGACGATGAGGACAGCAAGGGAGAGTAGGTGCATGGGCTGAAGGTGGTACCTCTTGGAGGTAGCGATGCGGTACAGGGAAGAGCCAAGCAGGCTGGCTGCCATGAAACTGGAGAAGACGATGCCCAGCGGGGCCCCATGTGGGTCCAGCACAGGTGTCCAGAGGAAGACAAAGATGAAGATGACACTCTCAAACAGGGCTTGTATGGTGCCTAGCAGTAGCACGCGGCGGTCTGACAGGAGACAGCGGAGGCCTCCGGCACAAGTCCTTGAAAAGGCACGCTGCCGATCATAGTTCTCTCCCCAGTTATGAAGGGCCAAGGCCCCAGCCAGAGCCAAAAGAGGGATGGCAGCCACGAAGGGCGCTACAGGCCCCAGCCCCATCCAGCAGGCCACAGCCTCGGCTGCCACGCCTGCCACTACAGCCAGCACATGGTTCCAGAAGGCAGCTCGGGCAAAGGTAGCTGGGATCCACTCAGCAGGGAAGTCATGGCGCTCCACGTGTTCATGGATGTACCAAGCCTCAAAGGCAGAGAAGAGCAGGGCGGTGGACAGCCCACCAAGTGCTCGGCCCATCAGCAGCACAAAGTAGTCCCAAGAGAGTTTGGTTAAGCAGCATAGAGAGTAAGTGAGGGAGAAGAGGACACAAGACTTCTTGCGACCCAGCCAATCCACAAGGGAGGAGGCCACCAGTCCAAAAAGGACTGTGGAGGCAAGGCCACAGACATAGAGGATGGCAATCTGACCCTCCAGGAAGTGGTAATGCTGATACAGTTTATAGAGGTAGGGGGCCTGGAGCCAGTCAGCTGCCAGGGCCAGGAAGTAGACCTGATAGAAGTCCAGTTGAAACCGAAGGAAGGAGGGGTTGCTGCAGGCCCTTCCAGGGGACTTAGCCTGGCATCTTGACAACTCCAATCCTAGGCAGGAGGCCAGGAGGACCACAAAGGCAAGGTAGGCAGTCACCAGCATGGCGGGCCCCCGGACGACCTAGAGAAGGAGGGGTGGGGGTGGGGTGAGAGTCACATCCATTGCCCAGGTAGCACTGTCAAGGGGCTGGGTGTCTAAGCAGAAGGCAGTTCCACCCCCCCCCCCCCCACCCCGCCAACTGCATTTCCCCACCCCTCAACTCCACTCCTCTAGAGCTCAGACCGGAGGGACCAGTTGGGTGGGTGGGAGGAGTGGCCCGCCAGAGCCGTCTCCTAGGACACGGTGGGGCAAGGAGGGGTAAGAGGAGAGGGGAGAAGACTGAGCACTCGCCCCACCCTTGCCTGGCATAGCAAAGAGGGAGTCCCTTCCATACAATAATTCCGGCCCCACGAGTTAAAGGGATGCTGCCCTCTTCTTCCACGACAGCTTCTGCATACTTCTATTACCTCCCATTCCCTCTGGAGAGCTCGTTTTAGCCCTCAAAGTCTTTCCATCTGTCCAGGGCATCCCTCCTGCCCGCGCTGGCCTCCCGATTTGCTTCAGGGTCACGCGCGAGCATCTCGGGTTCCCCCTCCTCCAGGTCTTAGGCAACCCCCTGCGCCCCCTAGCCCCCGCCCAGCGCCCCGTCGCCGCCACACCCACTCGCGCCTCGCCCAGACCCCGTCTCACCTGCTGCCCCGGTCTGCGGGGACGCCCCGGACACGTCCGGCTCCAGGCCGCCCGGACGCCCTGCTCGCTCTACCTCCGGCTCCGGTTCGGGTTCCAGCAGCTTGCCCGCCTCTCAGCCTGCTTCCGGGAGCCGGGTAGGCCTCTGGCCGCCGCCATGATGGCCCCCTCACGTGACGGGGCGCGGCGCTCAAGCTCCACCCCTGCTCCGCCTTCTGCCCCCCCAACCTCTGCTAAGAGCCCAACTCTCGACGCCCGCAGTAAAGAGTAGAGGCAGTAGTAGTTGCTACTGTGGCTCCTACCTCCTTCGCTGTTTTCCCGTGACACCCGCTTCTTCGACTCCCGGGTGCCTGTGGGGCCGCCCTGAAATAAGGATCCATTTTTTCTCTCCCTCCGCAACATGGAGAATGCCCGCAGTCCCGCAGACTCGCGGGCTGGCGCTTCCTAAGAAATGTCGCTACCCCGAGCCGAGCCGGCTCCTCGGTTTCCCTCTTTCTCACAGTAGCGACCGCCAGGCCCGACGTCAGTATGGCCCAGACACCTGAGGGAGGCAGTGTGGTGTAAAGGACTTTGGACTCGGGCTTGCAGCCGGGCTAAGGCTCAAATCGCACCCCTGTCACTTACCACTGCGTGGCCTCGGGCAAGCCACATTACTTCTCAGTGTCCCAATTCCTTTGTCTGCAGTCACAGGAGAGCAGTGCACAAATTAAAAAGGCTCAAGTTCAGCCTTGGTGCTGAACGCCCACCTTCTGCCACTTACCTAAGCTGTGTTACATTGGAAAGATTATTTAACCCGTCTCCTGTCTTACTGTTATTTCCAGTGGCTTCCCATCTCATTAACTGTAAAAGTCAGAATCTTTATAATGACCTACAAAACCTTCTATCCTCTGTTCCTCTGCTACTTCTCTGATTTCATCTACAATTCTCCCTTTAGAGTCTTTCTACTCCGTCTATACTGGCTACCTCCCGGGCCTTTGCACACTGTGGCCTGCAAGGTTCTGGTTCTTCTCCCAAATACCCACATGGTTCCCTCCCTCGGCCCCTCCAGTTCTCTGTTCACATGTCACCTTATCAGACCTTCCTGAGCCATCCTGCTTAAAATAGCAACACCACCACATTCACCACAGCAATCCACCTGCTATCCTTCCAGCCTCTATTCACCTTTGCTGCATTTTCCCCATACTTCACACCATCTGGCACGCTATGTGTTTTACTGATTTACTGTCTCTTCTCCTTACAAATTTTTATCTATTTGTTCACTTGTATTCCCAGTAGTTAAAACAGTTATTGGGGAGGTGCCTGGCTGGCTCATCTGGAAGAACATGTGGTCGTGAGTTTGAGCCCCAAGTTGGGTGTAGAGATTACTATAAAAAAGAAATAAGTGGGGCTCCTGGGTGGCTCAGCTGGTTAAGCGTCCGACTTCAGCTCACGTCATGATCTCATGGTTCGTCGGTTTGAGCCCCAGGTCGGGCTCTGTGCTGACAGCTCAGAGCCTGGAGCCTGCTTCGGATTCTGTATCTCTCTCTCCCTGCCCCTCCCTCTCCCGCACGCTGTCTCTTTCTCAAAAATAAATAAACATTAAAAAAATTAAGAAAGTTAAGAAACAGTTATTGGTAAGTACAAAGGATTCAGTAAATAAAATATTTGATGACTGAATAAGTTAATCCAGATAAGTTACTCTAAATATTGGCCCATATTAGCTGGTAACACTCATCAAACGGTTATCATGTACCTAAGCTCTGTTTTAAGAATTCCTGGGCTGTCTGCTGCAGATTAATTATTTAACTGTCACAAACAACCCATGAGGTAGGTACTATTATTATCCTTGAGAGTTGGCAAGGTTAAATAATGTGCCCAGAGTCACGTGATAAGAGGTAGGGTTAGAACTGGGACCCAGATCTTTCCAATTCCACACTCATAGTTTCTGAGAAGATTAAATGAGTTCACTCACTTGCACAGGTGATTGGCAAGTGTTGGTTTCCTTTATACTAAAGTTTGGAGGGTAGAGGGTGGGAGAGTCTGGGATCATATCTTGAGAAATACTTTCTTTTTTTTTTTTTAATTTTTTTAATGTTTATTTATTTTTGAGACAGAGAGAGACAGAGCATGAACGGGGGAGGGTCAGAGAGAAAGGGAGACACAGAATCTGAAACAGGCTCCAGGCTCTGAGCAGTCAGCACAGAGCCTGACGCGGGGCTCGAACTCACGGACTGTGAGATCGTGACCTGAGCCGAAGTCTGACGCTTAACCGACTGAGCCACCCAGGCGCCCCGAGAAATACTTTCTTACGATAAGGTAAACAGCGAAGATTTATATCTACAAGTTCCAAAGTGCCTTTATTCCTAACTGGCACCCTCCTACAGAGGGTGGTTCCCATAGGGAACCCAGGGCTTCCCCCATGGGCTTCCCAGGGGAAGTGGTTCCCATGCATTCATCTAGAAACACAAAGCCTCAAAAACCATGATTTCTCCAAGGTCATTCAGTGAGTGAGGGCAAAGGCAACCCAAATGCTCTCCATCCCATTCCCGGACTGAAGCTCCTTGGACTCGTGTCACCCATTTCTTTTGGGGGTGGAGGTCATCCTGAATGAAGGCAGGAATGGGACAGGATGGCCTTGCATTCCTGGCCTTCTGTTTTCCAGGAGGGAGGCCAGTTTTCCCCCATTGTTGAATCGCATTTTGCTCAGAAGCACCTGGCAGAAAGAGACTTACAGCAAGATTACATTATTTTGGATTATTTTTGTTTATTGTGGGACATATTAAAAATATGTTTAGTCTTTTTTAAATGTTTTTTATTGATTTTTGAGAGAGAGAGAGAGAGAGAGAGTGAGGAGGGGAGGGGTAGAAAGAGAATGAGACACAGAATCTGAAGCAGACTCCAGGCTCTGAGCTGTCAGCACAGAGCCTGATGTGGGACTGGAACCTATGGACCGTGAGATCATGACCTGGACTGAAGTTGGTCGCTCAACTGACTGAGCCACCCAGGGGCCCCAAAATATGTTTAGTCTTTTTTTTTTTTTAAAGTTTATTTATTTATTTTTGAGGGTGGAGAAGGGGCAGAGAGAGAGGGAGAGAGAGAATCCCAAGCAGGGATCCCAATGCGGAATTCGAACCCATGAACCGTGAGATCATGATCTGAGCCAAAATCAAGAGTCTGATGCTTAACTGACTTACCACCAGGCAGATACCCCCAAAATATGGGTAGTCTTTTTTTTTAATTTTTAAAAGTTTTTAAAATTTGGGGCGCCTGGGTGGCTCAGTTGAGTGTCCAACTTTGGCTCAGGTCATGATCTCACAGTTCGTGGGTTCAAGCCCCGCATTGGGCTCTGTGCTGACAGCTTGGAGCCTGGAGCCTGCTTTGGATTCTGTGTCTCCCTCTCTCTCTGCCCTTCCTAGGCTCTCTCTCTTTCTCTCCCTCTCTCTCAAAAATAATAAATAAACATTAAAAAATGTTTTAAAGTTTTTAAATTTATTTTTGAGAGGGAGAGAAAGCAAGTAAGCAAGGGAGGGGCAGAGAGAGAGGGAGAGAGAATCCCAAGCAGGTTCTGTGCTGTCAACACAGAGCCTGATGTGGGGCTCAAACTCACGAACCATGAGATCATGACCTGCGGTAAAGCCAAGAATCAGATGCTTACCCAACTGAGCCAACCAACCGCCCCCAAAATATGTTTAGTCTTAAGGCTCCTCTGTCACCTCAGAACTGTGAAAAACAGCTGGGAAAGTTCCTAAACATGGGAAATGTGCCAGCAGAGGACTGGAGGGGATAAAAGGCAGCCTGTGAATACAACATATCTCTAGAAGATGCTTCTAGCAGACTGCAAGGAGGGCTGAGGTCTGTGTATTGGGGAGGCACAGGGGAAATCCTAGTTTTCAGGGAAGGTGGGAGGGTGGTCTGGGAATATTGAGGGACTGTGCTTACCAGAGGAGCAACATTTAAAACTTTTATTATGAAAATGTTTAAACATACACACAGGTAGAGAGCAGAGTTCTATGAACCCCTACATAGTTAATTCAATAATACAATTCTGTCACTTCATTGCTTCTATTCCTTTAATTCCGTCCTTTTTTTTATCTGCCCAAATATTTAAAAGTAAGTATGTCACTTCACTCCATACTTCAATATGCACCCCTAGGAAATAAGGCCCTTTTCTTACAAAACCCTGAAGCCATTTTATGTCTAACAAAATCAATACCGACTCCTTGGCATTCTCCAGTCCGTAAGTAAAAGGCTCCAACTGTCTGAAACTGTCTTTTTACAATTGGGTTATCCAATCAGGAACCAAGAGTCCACATGCCCCATATAATAGTAGTCCTTTTATGTCCTCTCTCAATTTTCCCCCCTAGCCATTGACTAGTTGAAGAAATTGAGCCACATTTCCTTGAAAAGTTCCCACTCTCTGGATGTGTCTTCTTACTTCCTCGTTGTGTCATTTAAATTGTTCCTCCATCCCTGATATTTCCTGTTAAATGGAGGTTGGTTTTAGAGGTTTGATTAGAATCATGTTCAGTTTTGTGTGTGTGTTTGTTCCTTTGTTTGGCAAGAGTCTTTCATGGGTGGTGCTGAGTGCTTCAGATTGCATCACCCCAGGAGGTACACAGTAGAGGGGTTATACCCCTTTTAGTGATGGTAAGATTCCTCAGTGGGGTTAGGTGGTCACGGCTTGATTCCTCCATTGTAAAGTTCACCATCAACCATCATCTTTGGTTTCATCCATTCATGATTCTTGCTTTGATCAATTATTTGATCAGGGGCTGCCCAATGATTTTTCTAATTCCGTATTCCTTCCACATTAGCTGGAATTCTTCTTAAGAGCTATTTGGCTACCCTGAAATATAGTTTATACAGCACAGGCAGCATAAATACCTAATTGTTTTTTTTTTCCCAAAGATTTTATTTTTACGTAATCTGTATACCCAACGTGGGGCTTGAGCCTACAACCCCAAGATCAAGAGTTACACACTCCACCAACTGAGCCAGCCAAGCACCCCAATTCTTTTTCTTTTTAATTGCCAATTTTCAGAATAAGAAATTGGAAGAAACATCATTTTTTAAAAGTTTGGGCTTGGAGCTGAGTTGAGATGGATGGCCTAGATGGTGGGGAAAGGAAGGACAATTCTGGTAGCTGTGTCCAGCTCTGCTCACTCCAGGGCATGGGGTGTGTGTGAGACAGACAGACATCAGAGGACTCAGTGTCCTGGACCTTGTGCAGTAATGAGATGGGCATGACACAGGCATGGTGTAGAGGCACCTGCAGGACCCAGGGAGAGAGAGAGAAAGCCAGATTTGGGGAGGCAGAAAGAGATAGGAAATGAATACACAGCTAGAGCCAGAAGATTGGAAGGGAGGCAAGCACAGAAAGGGAAATAGAAATGGAAGAGATTGAGAATGAAATGCACCAGAAGCAGAACAGGATAGAAAAGCAGAGAGAGGGGAGTTTGGCTGGCTCTGTCAGTGGAGCGTGCGACTCTTGATCTCCGGGTCCTGAGTTCGAGCCTGATGTTGGGCGTAGAGCTTGCTTAGAAAAAGAGAGAGATAAGGTGGATCGAAAGACCAAGGAAGAAAATAGAGGTGAAGACACAAACTGAGACAGGGAAGGGGGAAAGAAAAAGACATATATGTTAAATAGACTTTACATTAGATGGGGAAATAGAAGGAGGGAGAAATAGAAGGATAGAAAATGAGGAAGGCTGATGTAGAGGCAAAGTTAAGTGAAGGCAGAACCTCCCAATGACAGAAAGAAGGAAATAGAAATGGAGAGAGTGATGTAGAAAGACAGAAGGAAGGGTACACAGAAAGATAAACAGATAGAAAGGAAAGCTCAAAAGAGTCCCAGAGAAGGAGGCCGAGAAAGAGAACATTGAAACAGACTGATGTCAGAGGACTTGAGTGTGGAGGGATGCTTAGGGGCTTTTAGCTTAGGGTCCAGCCCTGAGCAGATACCTGGGGCTCTTACTTCCAGCTTCCTCTTGGTGGCTTCTCCAAACTCAGGTCCTATCCACAGGGACAGGGTATTTTGACTTAGCTATATGGATGGGATCACTGAGACCAGACTTCCCAGCTTCCCTTATCCCCATGCCAGATGAGCATGGATGTAACAGAGGGGATTATTGCTGGAAGATTGAGGTCATGACACTGCGCGAGCACTCAGAGATTTGAAAGACAAGACATCCAGGCAGAGAACTCCAGGTTCCTAGAAGCAAAGGACCATGAAGGATGTCATGATATCCAAGGGGAGGGAAGAGCCAAGAACGCTCTGCTCAGCCTTCTCCTCTGGTCTAAGAGCCACTGACCTTCTTTGCCTGACTCAGGATGAGAGGTAAGGGGTCCACAGACTTTTGGGTCAGTAAGGGATACGGGTGGAGGCCCAAGTGGCAAGAGGCAACCCCTGGACAAAGGGCCCCCTACTGCCTCTAGAGGAGGGATGTACCTTATCCATGAGAACTGCAGAGAAGATGAGCCAAGAAGGATGTCCAGCAGAGGCTGACTACAGGAAGAAAATGGCCAACTTCCTCACCTTCCGAGGCCTTGAGGGAGGCTCTGAGAAGCATGCTTTCCATTTCAGAAGTTGCAGAAGAGGAGGTTCTGGAACCAGCAGGAGCAGGCCCAGAAACTAACATCAAAGCAGATGCCCCGCTCTCAGGGACTATGGGGGATGCGCGGGGGCTCTGAGCAGTCTTCTGCCTCTACCTGTCTGGGTGAGGGGTTTAGCTGATGCCTCTCCTCACTCCAGAGCTTCTGCCTCCCCCCAGAGGAAGCAGCTGGCAGAAGTGCTCCGGGAGACCAGACCGACAACCTCTCAGCGGGGCAGCAGTCCAGCTAGACTATGAGACAGTGCCTCTGAGAGGTGCGTTGTCCCTGGAAGCAGCGGCTGCAGCGGCCAGTGGAGCCTGGAGGAGCCCCTGGGCCACAGCCACAGCTGTCACTGCAGCCCAGGCAGGAGCTGGGACAGGCAGCTCGGCCTCTGGAGCAAGGGTAAATTGGGCAAGGTGAGGGGTGGCAGCAGGTCACGTGCGGACCAGCGCACAAGACACAGGAGCTGTGGGGACAAGTCAGGGGAGGACAGGCAGGGCAGGGGGGGCAGGAGCAGGTACAGGGTGGGCCAGGAAGACCGGGGCAGGAGGGGCAGGTAGCTGCATGAGAGGGACAGGCAGTGCAGGAGCAGGTGGGAGGAGGACAGCTAGGGCAGGGGCAAAAACAGGCGGAGGGGGGACAGGACAGACAAGGGGCGGCAGCTGGTGCGGCGTGCCCAGAGGGTGTAGGGGGCTGCTGGTGGGTGGCCTTCTTGTTGCGAGGGCCCAAGCGTAGGCCGAGGGAGAAGTCCATTCAGCTGCAGGAGCGGCCAGGCTGGGGGTTGGGTGGAGGGAAGGGCAGGGGTGAAGTAGGAGGGGCAGACTGACAGAGGCAGGGGTGGGGGCAGGATTAAACCTAAGACACTGCTGAGCCTTTGCTGATCCTGCTGGGAGCTCAGACCTCCCCAGCCAGCCCTCCCCCTCCAGGCCAGCCCAGGGATGTTCTCCTGCCACGCTCCCTTCCACCGAAAACCCTCCAGCTGCACCAGACCAGAACGTGTTCTTCAAATACGACATGCGCTCTCATGCCTCCAGTCCTTTGTTCCCACTGTTCCTTCTGCTCTGCTCAGCGTGCCCTTTTCTTTTCTCCACCTGGTGAGGTCCTCTCATCTCTGAAGTCTTCCACTTTATTCCATCAAAAGGTTTTTCTCGAGCTCCAGGCACCTGACCCCTGCCTGTTTAAGGACCCCTGCCCATCACCCTTGTGCCCTGATGGCCAGAAAAGCTGCGGCCAGAGCTCCCAGACAGTCCCCAGAGGGGATTTAGGGAACCCAGCAGCAGCAGCCCCCAGCAGAAGCTGTCTGACACCGAACCAGGGAAGTTGGCGGGAGCTGGCAGTGGAGGGAGGATGCCTGTGTTCTGGGGATTTCCACACAGGGCCGTTCCCAGGTGTGGGTGTAGGGGTGCTCAGATGTCTCTGGGAGATTGACAACCAGCCTGGACAGTTATTGTTTGAGGACTTATCATATATCGGGTAGTGAGTAAGACAGCGAGGTTGCCTCTTTTATAGAGCTCCCATAAAAGTGAGGGCTCGGGCAGGGTGGGGACCAAAACCAAACAGGTAAATAAAGAAAATACATGAGCTTTTTTTTCAGAGCATGAGAACGACTGTGAGAAACCCAGGCTGCCCGGATCAGAAGTGGCTCTGAGAGGCCAGTCCATCAGCAGGGCCAGGTAGCCAGCCCTCAACAGTCAGGTATGCTGGCATTTAAGGCTTGGGGGGAGATAAAGTGTCAAGTCCTAGCAGACCAGGGGAGAGCTGCCTGAGAATGAATGGAACCCAGGTGGCCAGGCTGTGGAGACAAGCAAAGCTGAGGAGGGGGTAAGGGATGTGGGAGGTTGCCATCTAAAACTGGGTGGTCAGAGAAAGTGTCACTGAGAAGGGATATTTTAGCAAAGACCTGAAGGAAATGAGGGAAAGAGCTATGGAGATGTCTAGTGGAAGAACACTGGGGCAGAGGCGGGGTTAGGCAGTCACACATGACCATGGGACTGGGGGTGAGGGGCAGAGTCATAATGGCACTGGTAGAGAGCAGGGCAGGGGCCTCAACATGCAAGGCCCTGGCACTCACAGCAGGGGCTTGGATCTTGTTCCAGTAAAAGGGAAAAACGCTGAGGGTTTTAGGCAACAGAGTGTACAGTTCTTCTTGGTCCTACGCCTGCCCCTGTTTAGAATGTTCTTCTTCCTGCATAATTGGAAAACTGCACTTTGGAAAACAGTCAGGCATTATTTGATAAATTGAAATTGCCTGTACATACACTTTGACTGTTAGGTTTTTTTTTTTTTTTTTAATGTTTTAATTTTATTCTTGAGAGAGAGAGAGAGAGAGCATGAGTGGGAGAGAGGCAGAGAGAGAGGGAGACACAGAATCCATTATTTCTTTAAAAAAAATTTTTTTTTAATGTTTACTTATTTTTGACAGAGAGAGAGACAGAGCATGAGCAGGGAAGGGCAGAGAGAGGGAGACACAGAATCCGAGGCAGGCTCCAGGCTCTGAGCTGTCAGCACAGAGCCCGACGTGGGGCTCGAACTCACGGACCATGAGATCACGACCTGAGCAGAAGTCAGACGCTCAACCAGCTGAGCCACCCAGGCTTCCCAAGGGAGACACAGAATTCACAGCAGGCTTCAGGCTCCAAGATGCCAGCACAGAGTCTGACAATGCTGAGGGCTCAAACTCACAGACCGTGAGATCATGACCTGAGCCAAAGTCAGACACTCAACTGACTGAGCCACTCAGGTGCCCGTTTTTTGTATTTTTTAAGGAGGCTCCATGCCCCACATGAAGCCTAATATGGGGCTTTGAACTCATGACCAAGATCAAGCCCTGAGCTGAGATCAAGACATAAGCTGAGGGGCACCTGGGTGGCTCAGTCGGTTAAGTGTTTGACTTCAGCTCAGGTCATGATCTCACATTCGTGCGTTCAAGCCCTCAGTTGGGCCCTTTGCTGACAGCTCAGAGTCTGGAGACTGCTTCAGATTCTGTGTCTCCCTCTCTTTTTGCCTCTCCCCTGCTCACACCCTGTCTCTCTCTCTCTCTCTCTCTCTCTCTCTCTCTCTCTCTCTCTCTCTCAAAAATAAACATTTAAAAAATTATATATAAAAAAAACCCCTGAGCTGAGATCAAGAATCAGATGCTTTAACCAACTGAGCCACCTAAGCGTCCCCCTTTTATTTTTAATTTTTTAAATATATTTTTTAAAGTTTATTTATTTTGAGAGAGAGAGAGAGAGAGAGAGAGAGAGTGAGTGAAGGGGAGGGGCAGAGAGAGAGAGGAAGAGAGAAAATCCCAAGCAGGGTCCGCACTGTCAGTGCAGAGTATATAGGGCTCAAGCTCAAGAACTGTGAGATCATGACCTGAACCTAAATCAAGAGGTGAACACTCACCTGACTGAACTACCCAGGTGCCCCATCCCCCCCCTTTTTTTTTAAACGTTTATTTATTTTTGAGACAGAGAGAGACAGAGCATGAACGGGGGAGGGGCAGAGAGAGAGGGAGACGCAGAATCCGAGGCAGGCTCCAGGTTCTGAGCCATCAGCCCAGAGCCCGACGCGGGGCTCGAACTCACGGACCACGAGATCGTGACCCGGGCTGAAGTCGGACACTCAACCAACTGAGCCACCCAGGCGCCCCTGCCCCATCCCTTTTTTTTTTTTTTTTTCCTCGTTTATTTATTTTTGGGACAGAGAGAGACAGAGCATGAACGGGGGAGGGGCAGAGAGAGAGGGAGACACAGAATCGGAAACAGGCTCCAGGCTCTGAGCCATCAGCCCAGAGCCCGACGCGGGGCTCGAACTCACGGACCGCGAGATCGTGACCTGGCTGAAGTCGGACGCTTAACCGACTGCGCCACCCAGGCGCCCCGCCCCGCCCCGCCCCGCCCCGCCCCATCCCTTTTTAAACTAAGCTCTATGCCCGGTGTGGGGCTCGAACTGGCAACCTCGAGATCAAGAGTCCCATGCTCTCCCGACTAAGCCAGCCAGGTGCCCCATAACTCTTAGTTATATAGCCTGGAAGAACTCTTGCATGTATGTACTGGGAAACATGTACAAGAATGTTCTTAGCACCATTGTTTATGGTAGGCATACTGAAAACAACTCAAACATCTACCAACAGAATAAAAACGTCAATCATAAATTGTGATATATTTATGCATACCATGAAACAATAAAAAGGCAGTTAATATGCGAAAACTTGGATGTGTCTCACAAACAGGAAGTTGAACAAAAGAGGACACGAAAGAGTAATACAGTATCATTCCATTTACATAAACCTCAAAAGCAGGCAAGATTAGGGTGCCTGAGTGGCTCAGTGGAGCGTGCAACTGTTGATTTCAGCTCAGGTCATGATCCCAGGGTTGTGGGATGGAGCCCTGCACCCGGCTTTGCGCTGAGTGTGGATTCTCTCTCTCCCTCTGCCCATCTCCCCTGTTCTCTCTCTCTCTGAAAAAAATAAAATAAAACAAAAGCAACATTTATTTTACAAAAGCAGGCAAGATTAAGCAATGGTATTTAGGGGTGCATACCTAGGTCTAAAACTATAAAGAAAAACCAGAAAATAGTCATCACAAAAGTCAGGATGGTGGTTACTTCTTAGGGGAGGCAGGGAATTGTGGGAAGAACACATGGGAGCTTCTGGAGTGCAGGAAATACTACTTCTTGACTTGCCCGGCAGTTAAATAGGTATTTGCTGTATTCCAGCTTACTCATACACTGTTCATAATATATTTATATATTCTGTATAGAAAGAGAAAATAAAGTACTGCTTTTTTCCCTCTGGTCCACGCCACCTTGCTCAGATCGTTATGCTGAAGTTAGATACTGCCTAGTCTCCTATACCTGACTTTTCCAACCAGATCTCAAGGACAGCCACCTTCCTTGTATTTTTGGCATCTCTCCATGCCTGGCATGAGGCAGATAATAAATGTTTGCTGAATTGGACTGAATTGAATTTCCCAAGTCTCTCATCCCATAGAGAGAGGGGAAGCTACAGAAGCTCGGGAGGGAGCCGGCTATGGCAAAGAGCCCTCGGGACCACCAAGACCTGGGTTCCCATCTCAGCTTTGGCATTTCCTAGCTGTGTGATTTGGGCACGTTGCTCTTAACCACTCTGGTTCTCAGCTCCCTCTTCTGTGAAATGGGGCGATAACTGCTACCTCTCTGC